GTTAGAAATGCTTCATTCTTAAGGTTATAAATAATATTGATTGTTTATCCCTGATGAGTTGATGCAATTTCTTTTCAATATGCTGATATCACGTTTCGAAAAAAAAAAAATGAAACAGAAGATTGATCGGCCATTACTGAAAAACGGCGAGCTTACGATATTAAAATGAAATTCAAGAAAATGTGAAATTCAACTCTATGCATGAGATTATAACATACTTGTAATCAAAATGGGCTCGATTTTACAATTCTTCTGCGGATTCCAGTTCGTAGAATGGATCTACTGTATTTAATATAATCAAATAAAATATCGATAAATATTTTACAAAACGCATATTTCACCTGGATTTTCTTGTCAGATGACTCATTCTTGGATGTTCCGTTCAACGATTTGTAGTGATTAAAAATTTCATTAAAATGTAAGAACATTTCAATTTTTGCAAAGAAAGAGACTTGACTCGTGCAGCATTCTATCTCGACCTAGCAAAATCTTATCTTATGAGCGATATCACCATTTTTAAACCAGTCCATTACAATCTTGTAAAAATTAGAAATACGGATCTTAAGAGTGACACACATGGCCATCGATCTTACGAGAGAGATAAACTACTGCGAATCATTCGAGTGAGACACAGGACTGTGGATCTTACGAGTGAGACATATGACTGTGAACCTCACAAGTGATACACACGGCCGTAAATCATACGAGAAAGGTACACGACCGTCGATTTTACGAGTGAGTCACACGGCCGTGAATCATACGAGTGAGACATACGACCGTAGATTTTACGGGAGAGACACATGACTGTGAGTCTTATGACAGACACACGACTGTGAACCTTACGAGTGAGACACACAGCTGTGAATCATATGAGACACATGACCATAGATATTACGAGTGAGACACACGACCGTGGATTTTATGAGAGAGACACACGACCATTGATCTTATGAGAGAAACACATGACTGTGGGCCTTACGAGTGAGATACACGTTAAGAGAAATGTATTACTCGTAAGGTCAATAATTGTTGCCTGGTTTTAATTTTTACACCATTCTAAGTGACGGTTTTACTGATCTCATTTTGTATGATTTTCTTTTTCTGTGGGTAGTCATAGCTCTCCACTACTTCCTGTCCTTTCTAGCTCCTATCAATGTTTGTCTTTTTGCTAGCTCGTCTCATCCTTGTTCATTTACATAAGTTCGTTAGTGTCATATAAGACATATATGAATGGAACTGTCCGTTTATGCAAATAATCGGAGTTAAGCGAAATTGAGGAGAGTTATTAGGTTGGTGCAAAAATAATTTCGTTTTCTAACATATGTTACTATGTGAGAAAACGAAATTATTTTTGCACCAACCTAATAGCATCACGTCTTAGACGTGCGCTAAGTTCTTAGTGCTTGTCAAACTTTCTGCCTTTGGGACAGAGAGGAACCCAGACGAGGCTATGCCGAAGGGCAGTTTTGTCTGAAGAAGTAGACAAACCCGACCCCATTATTACGACATCTACGAGAAAACCCCACGTTAAACCGGCCTTGTGCCACATCCTGCTCTATGGAGAGCTCGAGCAATTACCGAGTTTAGCATTAAGTCTCGTGAATGATGACGGCGAGTTTTTGTGGTGGTTGTAACGAATGAATGGGTTGTGAATCGGATTAGCTAGATATAAGATAGATAGGGTCGACCATCCTCAACCTATTTCTCCTTTTTGGCCTTGTGCCACAATTGCTGTATGTATACGCAATAAATCTCGATTAGGAATTAGTTGCGCACATTAGGGTAAACTCTTATTGTTTGTCGAACTCTCTGACTTCATGCAGAGAGGAATCCAGACGAGGCTATGCCGAAGGGCAGAGTATCTTCTGGGGAGGTAGTCAAACCTGACCCCGTTATTATGTGGAATTTCTGGCCGAGCCTACAAGCTCGGAAAATCCCATCGGCTTTGTGCCACGTCCCACTCTGTGGGGAGCTCGATTAAATACCCAGTTAGCATTAGGCTAATTGCCAAAGGTACCTTCATATAGTAAACCTTTTATTTCATTACTTACCTACGAGTTTGTCTTCCTTACTTATTTCTATGTGTTATTTCGAAAGAACGAGATACAACAGTTAGGTTGGTTATTCAATTAATGTCTCTTTTACCTTCAATGTACTGTGAGTGTAAATGTTTTTAAGTCTCTTTTTCTTTTTATGTCTCCTAAATATTTTAACTATCTCTACGCTAAATATTGTAAGGATAATTGTAATATTATCCGTTTCTTTATAAGGAAACAATTGATGTTCATTGACCGAGCAACCAATACTGATTTTGGTTAAAATATATAAAATCCTTCTCTTAAAACAATTTTTCAGGAAAATAGGTTTTTCAAGTCCAGTAGCCGTTATTGCTCTTTCCACTAATGCTGGGGGTTTCCTTCCGAAACTTTTTTTTTTGATGTAGTGTCGAACATCAACTTCTTGATTATTGTTTCCTCTTCTAATTATTTGTAACGTTCCTTTTCGTTGTTAAAAGTCCTCAAATAATGTTGTTTCTGTTATCTGATACTGATTGGGATTCTGAAGCGTCAGTCCACAATGTTTGAAGAAATATGGTTTTCATCAAACTCCACATGCTTCACCCACATTTTAACAATTGGTCGTTGAAAGCGGTTGTATACGGCTGACAGTTTAGATATTTCTGAACGAATTTGGCTCCATACATGAAAAATTCGATCTGACGAAGCTATTTAACAACAGGTTATCAGGTTTTGTAGCAATTTACGGTGTTGAGCAAAACTACACTAGGTACAGCCCATCCTCCTTTGTTTCTATTTTCCTTAAAACTTCGTTGTTGCTCACCTGTTTGGGCCATGTTCGGTATTCTCAGTATCCTTCTGTAGAACCATTTCTGTTACCTCAAGTCTCTTCTTTATCTGTGAAGAGGTTGTTCAACATTCACTGCCATATAGGAGAAGCGATATTAAATCACAGCCCAGTACTATATTCTTTGTTCCTAACAACAAAATCCTCCTTTGAGATTGGCGAGTCGAAGACAAATTCGATTCTACTTCGCTGCGATCAATTTCTACAAGTACCCTTATAAAGGTATGGATCCATCTCTTCTCAGATTAGGGCTTAATAGCCGATAAGACTGGGATTTTTACCTTTGGTTGGAAACCAGGCTATGAGAAAGACAACTGTCAGTTATGTGCCATGCGTTATCATGTATCATTCGATACATGACTGACGAGGCAGATTTTTCCCCACAATAGTTAGTCATTTCTTTCTGCGGTAGACCATCCAAGGCTACAGAATCCGGTCTGTTCTGCTATTTACTCATAGCTTTGGGGTGGTGGAAGAAGAAGATTCATACCTTTCCCAAGGGTATTAGCATGTAAGTGAATGTAATGGACTCGACTGGAATTCGAACTCGGATCTCCGATTCCTCAATCCGAGCCGCTATCCATTACTCCACAGACTGAATTCAAAACAGGCTAGCAACGCCAATCTATAAAAAACTATTTGTTGTGGGAACCACAACATATTTTTGTGTGCATATGTATGTATGTATGTGTGCGCGTACATGTGTTTGTGTGTGTGTGCGCGCGCGCGCGTGTGTGTATATTTTCACCATCCTATACATAATTTCCATCAAAAATATGTATTGCTAGTCAGGGCCAGTACAATGAACGCTTGGGTCCCTCTCCCCAATCTATGATACCCCCCCACTCTATTACATCTCAATTTTCATAAGGTAGTATTCATATAAAATATAAATTTTATTGTGACCTAATTATTTACAATAATGGATCACATGCAATATAGGGGAAAAATTCAACTATAAAAATTGAAAAGAAAAGGTATTTAAATATAAATTATATATATATAGATCATTCCATCGTAAATAAATCAATAATGTTTTGCGGCAAATTTTAACATTAACTTGCGACCTTTTTTGTTAAAAAGTTGAACAATTGTAACATATTCAACATTATGGAATAAAAAAAATAGTGAATTTTATATATTTTTTCCGAAACTTAGCATTAGCAAAACAAATTTACGGATTTTGGAGAAAAAAAGAATTCGGAATTACGTCAAAATCCACGAAACCTTTTTATCCGTTAATAGTCAGATGTGCTTGGTTTAATTTGTAACGTATATAAATTTAGTTATAAAAGAAGTAAATGTTGATAAGATAGCAAGGGTCACAAAACACTACCCGAGGCCTTCAATCAAGAGTTCGGGGGCAGTAAGCACCGGCCTTGTTTGTAGCTCAAAAATATGTCCATGACAAATAAGATTGTGTTATCTTCTGCCACGTTTTACCAACAGAATTCTGTCTTTAATCTCTTCATCGTGTTTTCCTGTTGCATTTTTCTACCAATCAAGGAACCTTTTACTTAATCTGTTATGTTTCATTTTAGTTAAGTGCGCTGTCCGCCCCCATTTTTATTTTCATTTAATCAATTCTGTGATATATCTTATCATGGTCAGTTTTATACTGTCTTTTACAGTTATGCGCATGCGCAGATGTAGAAGCATTTCAGAAGAAAAAAATACAGAGTCAATACACAAGAACTAGAGATATTTTAGAGATCAAAACCATAAATAACGAGAAGGTGATCTAAACTAAATCTCTTTGTAATTTCGTTTTTTCAACATTGTCTTCCTATATCTCTTTTTCTTATCTTTTGTCATTTCTTTCTTAATTCATCAATCTTTCCTAGACATCTCGCTCTTATTGATAATTACTCACTCACTATCATTTTTATATTTCATTCTCACTCCTTTTGTTGATCACTTTTTCTCTTTCGTACTTTCTTACTCTTCCTACCATTTTGCCACTCTTTTCTTACCCTTTTTTCTTAATTACTTACTCCCTATCATTTTGCCACGCCTCTCTCACCGTATTTCTAATCTAGTACTCCCTATCATTTTTCATTCTTCTCCCAACCTTATTCTTAATTACACCATTATTTTCTCATTCCTCACTCACCCTATTTAATTACTCTTTTGCTATGATTTGTTTTCTCTCTATTTACAACTCTAAGTCCTTGTATTGCTCTCTAATCTTTTTCGCTCAATCACTTCTTTTCTACTTGTACTCCTCTTTCAACTTTATCACTTACTCCTTCTTCTTCTCTTACATTCTCTTTGTCATCATTTACTCCTCCTTCCCCAACTCCACTCTCGTTCTTAATCAGATACTCCTTCACCAACACCTCTCTTTTTATTATTTATTTCCTCTCTGTCTTTATCCTTCTCCCCCTTTCACCATTTTTGTAATCCCTTTCTTTTCTCTTGTTCTTTCTGTTAATTGTTTATACTTTTTCATCCAATCCTTTCTTTCGTTTTTGTTAATCACTTTCTTTTTCTGTCGCTTTTTCCACCAACTCTGATCTTTTTCCTACTTTATCCTAGTTAACGACATCTTGTCTTTTTCGTTTGCTTACTTGTTTCTTGGAGGTGCGACCGCTTTCTCGTATTTCGCTCTATCTCTCTCCTCTCCTCCCCACTGTTTGTCACTGACTTTTTCTATTTGACTCTCTTGTTTTCTTTATCTAAAGCCTTTTTCACCTAAACGTGTTCTCTGTTTTATTATCCCCCTTGATTCCCATACTTGTTTTTGTCTTACAGTTTTTACCACTATCTTATTCGCATCAACTTTACTGCTTTCTTCCAAATCAATCCCTCTCTCTCAACCTTTCTTTACTTATTACCTTTACTTTATTTTCCCTCTTTCTCTTTCTCATACTACCTTTTTTCTCCTCCTCCTTTCTTGCTCTGCTTGTCATTTTCTTTCCAGCTCTTTCTGTTCTTCCCGCTCGTTCTCTTGTTTTCCCTTCCCACCAAAGATACTTCGATATCCGACCTTCTTCTTTCATTCATTCTCACTGATTTTATCTCCTGTAGTTCTCTTTCTACTCTCCCCATTTTCCTAATTTTCTTTCTTACTTACTATCGTCCTGTCAAAGACGATTCTCTGTTTGACCTTTAGTATTTACGCCTCAACGCACAAATCACAGAACTATGCAAGATTCTAATCTCTTATGAAGATAAACGCGATGAAATTCTTCAGGCTTTTCCTAGAATTCCGTCTCCTCTTCGGTCTTTTCCTTGGCCCGGGTTGTTCTTAAATTTTGGTTTCTGGTTAACAAATTACATTCGGTCGTACGTAACCCGGGTTTTAAATCTGATAATCATTCGGTTGAGAAATAAGAGATGATCCGATGAAAACCGAACGTCTTTTAATCGCCAGAAAGGGAATCATTATCCAAGATGCAAAGACAAAGAGAAATAAAATGCAATTCACTCAGAGGATTTAATTGTGACAACGACTGACAATTTCCCAATTCCTAATACCTATATAGACGATGGAAATATTGAGAAAGATAATATCTAAGTGATTAGAAATGTCTATACCATTCTCCTTTTATCTATGGTTCACTTTCACCTCATTTTTCCTTCTTTTTCTTTACTGTCAATACGCACACACACACACACGCACACACACACATATATATATATATTACTTAAACATTATTTTTAGCGGATACTCGTATTTGAATAGACGCTTCGTTAAGATCGGCTACAGAGTGCACCAATGATCAAAGAAAAGATGAATAACGCCTTTAAACATATATTTTTATCTGACTCTTGAAATAGAGACATCTGTTCATTTTCGTATCCTAGCGTAATCAAAGTAATTTGTAAAGAAATGGAATGAATTTTCTATTCATTAATCTGTTTGATTAATAAGTAAAAGTACATCCTTTATATACATATATATATATATATATATATATATATATATATATATATATATATATATATATATATATATATATATATAATATTAGTGGTAAATATACACATACATATGTAAAATATATAAATATATATACATACATGCATACACATACATATATATTTTGTATAAAAAAAATTCCAAGAGGATAGAATCCAGGTAGAATTCAATGTCCAGGACAAAGTAAGGATATAATAAAAAAAGGCTTCAACACTAATATTCCATGGTCATAATTTATTCCATTGGAATCGTAAATACGATCCAATTGATCAGACCCACAAATTCGAAAAGAAAACAGAAAAACAACTCAGGTAATAAAAAATAAAATTTAGAGAGAGCGTAAATATGAGCGTGTGGGACGAATGTTAGAGCTATAGAGAGGGGTAAGAGACGAGAGAAGGTGGGGGATTAAAATTTAGCAGAGAGAAGTTTTAGAGAGGGGAGTCAAAGATGGTTTAAGTGAGAGCAATATGAATGTTGTCGGATATATATATATATATATATATATATATATATATATATATATATATAATCTGTTAGGTAGATAATAGAAAGGAAGCTTAATCAATATATATATATATATAGGTGTATAATAGAAGGTGAGTTTAATAATCAGGGGTGTTTGAATCTTTCTCAATATTAAAAAATGTGTCTTAATAAAACTGAGGTCGGGAAAAGATTCAACAAATTAATAAACTATATATATATATATATATATATATATATATATATATATATATATATATATATATATATATATATTACGTCAAACGTTATAATCAGAGGATATTTCATATTTGAAATGGACGTCGCTTCTTATTTTAAACATTGTGTATTGTTGTCTATTGTTTGAATTAATTAAAATTTCCTTTAATTTCTTGATTCAAGTTTTGCCAAAAACTTGTTGATACTGAAACACAAACAATCTAGAAGATTCAGTAGGCCTTTGTCGATGATGCTATCGTTAAAAATCAAATCAAGAAGTGGTACAAACGCTTCAGACATGGACGTATCTCAAAGGAGAGCAAGGCACCTCAATCAGGCCATCCGTAAGTCGAAGTCGGAATAAGCACAGGATAATAAGTACATTCCGACTCGTGCACACTACACATCTGTACTGGGCACTACCGCGGTTTATACGCTCGAAACTTTTCCAACCAAATGATTTTGGCCACGTGGCATTATTCTTGGCGGGAAAAATAAAAGTCGCATAGTTCTTGAACGCACCTCGTTATATATATATATATATATATATATATATATATATATATATATATATATATATATATATATAATCGACTCTCCGTCCAGATTCGACGTATGAGGGTCAAGCAGATCAGTTTCAGGAAACCGACAGCCCGACACCGGCACATGAGATTTGATTATAGTGGTGAAGGCCTCGTGCAGGACCATCCACACTTTTTGAAGGGACGAATACAGAGACCTGGTGCATCGAGTGCCACACAAGGTTCTCAAACGACCCTGCGCAGGATTTGAATTCAGAGTTATCCTTCTCTTAGACCAGTTGCCATCCAAGGCTATAGAACCCAGTCTTTCCTGCTATTTTAACCATAGCTGGATGGAGAGGAAGAGGATTCATACCTCTCCCAAGGGTATTAGCACGTATGTTAATGTAATATATATATATATATATATATATATATATATATATATATACATTATACGTGCTACCATGTTAATGTAATATATATATATATATATATATATATATATATAATGTCATTCGCAGACAGTACTGTTTCGCTGTATCATAGTTCCTCAGTGCGACTAGACATCCGAATGCCTCAAGCCAGGATTGAAACCCAATCGATTTGGTGTGTCAGAGTTTCTAACACTAAGCTATCTTCATTCAACAGAATGGAACAACTAAATCTAGCGTATTGCTTTTAAGAATGTAAACAAATGCCAATCATCCATAGGGCTCTATTCATTTTATTGAAGAGCTTTGCATTAACGCAGGTGGCTGTTCTTTATAGAATCAGCTTGTCATTCAACAGTGCTTAATTGAAATGTATTTTTTCAAGAGCTATAAAACAGAGCTTCTACTCGAATATGAGTATCCATAAAAAATAATGTTTAAACAAAATAAATCAAAAATACATATGTATCATTTCTGATGTTTTTATCCCACGATCTTTTTTAAAATAGAAATAATATACAATTCATTGTTTAAAAATCACATCTTTCTTACTTATTTCCGGATTATAGGCGCGAGCATTGGCTTGTCAATTTATTGATATTCATCTACCTATCGATGTATCAGAGTCTTTTCATATCTATCTATCTATCTATCTATCTATCTATCTATCTATCTATCAGCTTGTTCATACCTATCTATTTCTACATCAAGGGCTTAGTCGATATATATATATATATATATATATATATATATATATATATATATATGTGTGTGTGTGTGTGTGAAAAATATATAGAAAATAGGAAAGAACTCGTTAAGTAAATAATCCAAAGTTCTTTCGTATTTTTGTTATTATTTTAAAAAAAATAGTGCTCGATACAAAAGTAGAGCATACATATAATTATTTATTTAATTATTAATTTATATATAACGTAGAGACAGCGATTCTCGTTCTATCACTGAAGTTAAGCAATATTGAGTCTGGTCTATTCTTAGAGAGGTGGCCATACAAGAATACCAGGTGATGAAGGCTTAAATGTGCAGGTGTTGTAATGAATAACTTACGCGCAAATACCATTGGGATAGGTATGAATCCACCTCTACTCCCCTAGCTATGAGTTAATTAGTAAGGGTTGTATCACTAAAACTATCATTTTAATCAAGGATTTTCTAACAATATGTTGTACATGTATAGTAAAATTACGAATATAAAGTTGAACAAAAATTAATCAAAAATGCATTAACCTATTTATCACTGCTTCTCGCAACCTCTTGCGTATCTCTAGGACTTCGAGGACCACCAGGTTAGAAACGCTGAAATCGAAATATATTGAAGCTCATGAGTGGTGGGTCGGAAACTCACTTTATGTCTCCTTTGTTATAATCAATCACACAGATCTTTCGGTGTTAATGAGAGATGGACTGTCCGAGCGCCCTATCCATCAGTATGAATAATAAATAAATGTATATATATTGTTAATGCTTAGTCAAAAAGGTTGGCATCGAACCTCAGCCCAACCTTGTCAAAATGCGTTACATTATTAGACTTGGTAGCGTGCTCGACATCTGTAATTAGAAACTCGATGAATTCAGTCAGTTATGTGCCATGCGTGATACACGATTAGGCGATCATGTATCTTTCGATACATGACTGACGAGGCAGATTTTTTCCCCGCAGTAGGTTGCCATTTCTTTCTGCGGTAGACCGGTTGTCATCCAAGGTTATAAAATACGGTCTATCTTGCTATTTACCCATAGATGCGGGAGAAGAAGTGGAGTCATACCTTTCCCAAAGATATTAGCACTGGATTCGACTGGAATTCCTTAATCCGAGCCATTATCCATTACTCAACTGTGCCGCCTTTACTCCACCGTGCCTCCTCCCATTATTTTAGCAAATAGAAACGAAACTATCGTATCTTGCTGCTTATAAGACGCGTTTCATTTCTATAAAATATCCTAAAAAACGACCTTCGTACTATAAATCGAATGTTTTTTTGACAGGAATTATAAGTTTGGGGTGTGGAGTGAGGGTCAGTTCCCCAGTTATATCCGATTTTAACCTTTTCAAAGTAAAACAAATCCAGTGTTTCTGCCGTTGGGATACTGGGATATTGACAGGAAACGAAATTCTTGCTACAGTAATACCTGCTTAAATAATACTTTCCGTCCTTAATTTTTAAGCTACTGGTCACGTATGGGAGAAACTTTAAGAATATTACTACTGTATTGAACGCATTTGTTAGCTCATTCTGGGTATTTTCGCTTGATTACGTAATCACATTTACGGTATTTAACGGTGTCAAATATTGCCGAGCAAATACAGTAACCCACCAAGGGCACCTCGGCGTGGTGTAATGGTTAGTAAGCTTGGCTTGCTAGATCAGTTACTACTGAAAAGTGAATTCGATTCTCACTGGATGCCCCATACTTTCGGCCTTGCGCCACATCTAAGCAGACATTTTTGTTTATCGTCGCTGATAACGACACATGAATATGCACTCCGAGATCCTCACTATATAGAGTTCCG